AACAAGTTAATCAAACTTATATGGAATTTGCTCACGAAAAAGAGGTTTATTTTGATCGATGGTGTAATTTGATGCATATTGGCGATAACTTCGACAAACTAAGACAATTATACCTAATTGAGGAATTTAAACATTGGGCACATGACGACCTCAAAATTTACTTAGATGAAAAGAAACACTACAGGAAGCAGTCATTCTTTCCAATGACTACCCTTTAACATATAAAACCACTTTTCATAAAAAGAAATTCCTTCCATTTCAACAAAAAGCTGTACTTATTCAATCCACTGAAGTTGAGGATTCTTCCAAAAAAGTCCAGCTTCTCTAGTTCGAAATCTTCATACAGTTGGGCTAAGACTTCGTCAAAACCATCAAGGCTTGTCTGCCATTTCTGTAAAAAACCTGGTCATGTTATGTCCGATTTTTGGGGGTTTGAACAAGAAGAAAGAAAAGGAGGCAACATCCAGTGCATTTGTGTCCACATATAGACATAGTTTCACTAGATCACCCAATGTTGTTTATTTGGCCACTGATATAAAGGCTGATGTAATCAGAGAGGAATGTAGACCTTTTGTGTCTGTTAGTTCTGTGTCTGTGGCAAATGACACTGGCAATCCCATACCCATACGTATTCTACGTGACACTTGGATGACTCAATCATTGTTGTTAGAAGGTGTGTTGCTTTTAGATTCAAGTTCTGCCACTGGTGAGTCTGTTATTGCTCAAGGTATTGATGGTGGCTTTGTTAATATTCCTCTTCATAATATTTATTTAGCATCAGACCTAGTTTCGGGGCCAGTTGTGGTTGGGTAAGACCTACCCTGTCAATTAAAGGTGTATCATTGTTGTTGGGAAACGATTTGGCAAGGGAAAAAATTATTGCCGAACCTAAAAAGGTTAACGAGTCAATCACTGTTTCATTTAAGGATGATTTTGTAGTTGAGGCGAATCCTAATGTGTTTCACTCGTGTTCTGTGACTCGAGCTCAGGCTAAGAAATTAAGCCAAAAACAAAGGATAGATATGGAATCAGAGGA